AATCTCCTGATCTACAGGTTTTATAGAGCAAACCACCACCCCCCCGCCCTCCCCTCCCCCCAAAGCCCTCCAATTATTTATTTTTGAGATCATTAGCCTCTCCACGTATATTTTGTATATTTTAACTTTTAAACTTTATGTTATTATTGTAATTAATCTAAAATAAATATAATTATATCATGTGAGTCACGTGGCCATCATTACTTTGTTATCTTATCCTCGTTAATACCATGTTGGCATAAATATGATCCATTGGGACTCATAAAAATGAAAAAATCTCATCTAAAATATATATGAGTCTCATTTTAAATAGAATTTTTTTTGCTTTAATAAATCTAAGTGAATCATATTTATACTAACTTAGCATTGACAAGAATAGGGTAATGGAGTAGAGATTATCTATATAATGGAATTCTATTTATTTTAGACTAATTGAAATAATAACATAAAATTTATAAATTAAAATACATAAAATATATGTTAAGAGCTAATAGTCACAAATATAAACAATTGAAGGGCTTCGAGGAGTTAAACCGTTCTTATTTTGGAGAAATTCTGATACCATCTGACATGGTACTCCCGTCCAATGAAAACATTACAACTCACTAAAATTAGACACTTCATCTTAAACAACCATACATATCACGTAATGGAAAATTTATTGTAACAAAAAACTAACGGAGTATTTCTCTCTGCTCCTCTCACCTCTTTCCACACAGCATCTTCTCTGTTCTATTCCATCCTCTCCAAATCTTCCATCTCCTCTGCTGCTGCTCGTCCCTGACCACAGGTTGCTCCCAGGAGATCCCTTCCTTTTTCTCTTTTAACTCTCAAACATATGAGTTATTTTAGATCCGGTTGGTTTTTAGGTCTGAGATTTAGGAGAAAAGACAAATTCCATTCTTGGATTTATATAAATTGGAGAGCATTTTATTTGAGTAATTTCACACCTACAACCCATTTGAATTAATTTACTCATATGAAATTCTAGCATTCCTAAAACACATTTGATTTAAAGTCACTTTCTTCACAGAGACAATACCAATTATATGTTCAACCTGAGCATCCTTGACAATATGAACTCCACCCTTGAAAGTTACACTTTTAAATCTTCCCATTGGAAAACAATGTTTATCAATTTCTCCATCATGATGAAGAGATACACATAAACATCAAGAATTGAGAATGCAAGAACAGATCGAACAAGATATTGCAATAAGATAATTAACGATTTTTAAGACCCAATTGAGTTTACTAATATGAAATTCTTCTTTCTTTTTCGATTATATATTCTTGTCAGGGGAGAAATTTTGTGGAGGAAGAAGACAGAGAAGAGAGAGATGAGATAAGCGGAAGAGAGAGAGAAGGCTCGCACCGGAAAAATTCTCTGTTAGCTCATGTGTCTTTTTGGATGATGGAATGTTTTTTTTTTTTTGGTTGAGTTGTGATAATATTATTGAACGGGGAGTAAATTTAATACGATTTTTTTTTTTTTTTTAGAAATAGCCAATGGAAAATTTAATGCGATTTGAAAAACTGATTTTTGTAAGGTGTAGTGTAGACAGTCAATGGGTTGTTAAAAGGTATATTTATTTTTTCTTTTATAATTAATTTATTAAAAAATTATTTTATAGGTGAGATTATTTATTAAAAGTTTAGTTTGATTTATAAATTTGTTAAAATATTTTTAATAAAATTATTTTATATGTTATTTTGTTCATAATAATTTAATAATTTTAGTAT